CCTGCTGACTAAGGGCTTGGTGTGTACCAGATAAGGCTCCAGGCATGTATGTGCATGTGTGTATGTATATGAGTACATGTGTGAGTGCATGTGTGTGCATGTGTGAGAGGCCTCACACCCCTGCTCTTGCCATGTCTGGGGCATCAGGGTCTATGAGGGTAGCTTTCATGTCCTATGTGTCTTGGGCTCTCCGCCCCAGGGGCCTGGGCCCTGCTTCATCTCAGAGAAGCCCTGAGGATTCTAACTCTGGTCCTTCCAGGAGCCCCCCTCTCCAGAGTTCTCCCTTCTCCTGCCCTGGCAGCCCCAGTTGGGGTGGAAGGGGCTGCTCCTGGGCTCCATGTCTCAGTGGAGAGGATAAGTGGTTACTGGAGACAGAAAGAACCTCTGAGCCCCTTCACCTCCCCTGTGACACATACCTGATTGTCCAGCCTTACCTTCAAGGGCTCAGCATGACCACAGGACACACGTGTGTCATTGGGGGTTATACCAGCACCCAGTGCTGGCCCTCGCTTCCAGCCGAGCTGCCTCAAGGCGTGGGGGGGTGCATACAGCTGAGTGAGGGGCTCTTGTCTGCCCAGCCCCATTCTGCCAGGGCTCCCTGAAGCTGGCTGGCTTGCTCTTACATGCACATTCCCAAAGCCTCTGGATAGCCTGCTTGGGCACGGGCTAGCTGGACTGGACTGCTAGCTGGACTGCAGCAGATGCCCACCCAGGCCTGGGCAGCAGAGGAGGCTGGAGCCCAGCAGGAAGGCTCAGTGATTCAAACCAAGATGGAGACAGTGTGGAAAGTCCTCAGGGATCATGTACAGTGACTCAAGCGTGTGTGTGAGGCTGACAGGGAACAGGGTTCCCTGTCCAAATGTGCTGGGGGATCTGAGCCCTCCAGGGCAGGATTGGGGACCAAGGTGGGGGTCCAATCATAGTTCTATTACCCTGGGGACCCTCAGGTCTTCACAACTGCTGGCCTGAGGTTCCCTTGTCCAGACACTCAAGGCCTTCCCCAGATGCTCAGTTCCACAAATGAAGCCTCACCCTGGGTCCACAGAACTGAACAATGTTCAGGTCCAACCCTTGCCCCAGACTTGGCCGGATCAGCCTGGCTTCATCAGTCCTAATCAAACAGGGCCACGCTGGCTGCAGGGGTGGTGGAGGCCGAGGAGATAAGTCTTCCCCAGGGCCCTCAGGCGCCATATCCTCTGTTATGCTACTGCCCAACCCTGGGTTCAGCTCCAGGGCCCTGATTCGGCAAGGCTGAGGAGGAGGGTACAGTGTCTGTACCAAGCGTCAAGCCTATGATGGGACCTTGTCCAAGTGTCAGAGCAGGCCAGGCCTTACCACTGGTGGCCAAGGGACTCAACTGTCAGGGTGTTCCCAAACACTGACAATGGAAGTCTACCAGGCCCAGGTGGGGCGATCTGGCCAGTGGGGATGGGTCACATAGACTGGGCCTGGCTGTGGGCTGGGGCCCTCCTGAGGTTACTCCTCAACCACAGGCTGGAGCCATGGCCCAAACAGCCGGTGCGGAGCCTGGAACCTGGAAGCCTCCCCAGGCCTGGCCGCCAACACTGCCAACACCACTGCCTGAGGAGGAGAGCAGGGAGAGGCTGGTGGAGCTGCATGCCTCCTTCAGGGAACTGTTCACCTTCTTCTGCACCAACGCCACCATCCACGGTGCCATTCGCCTTGTCTGCTCCAGCCAGAACCGCCTCAAGACAGCGTCCTGGGGGCTGCTGTTCCTGGGCACCTTGGGCATGCTCTACTGGCAATTTGGGCTTCTCTTCGATCAGTACTGGCGCTACCCAGTCATCATGTCGGTGTCTGTGCATTCAGAGCGCAAGCTCTTCCCATCCATCACTCTGTGTGACATGAACCCACATCGGTGAGGGCGTGGGGGTGTCTGTGTGGGGGCTGGGCTCCAACTCCTGACCTCTGCAGCCTGTAGGCATCTCCCTGTGAGGAGTCTCAGTCAAAGTCCCGCTGGCTCATGAAGGCTGGCCATTGATAACCGCAGCTCTTCACTACAACTGCACCAGGTGGGGCAGCTCAGACCTCTCTCTGGGGTAGGGCCCTAGGGAGCCCAGGAGGGGAAAGGCAGGGACAGAAGGGCAGCCTGGGCCCCCCAGGTGGAGAGGTAGCAGGAACAGACAGGGTGCTATGAGCCTCCCAGGAGGACAGGAGCACAGATGAGGGATGCGGGCTAGAAGAGTCACAGGAGCCCTCACATCTAGTTCCTAATCTGGGCATCCTGAGGGGAGGAGCTGCTCTCCTTGTGGCACACATAAGGACACTGGAGCCACACAGCACTGAGGTTTGGGCTTCAGGGAAATGGCTCTGACTCAGTGTGTCCCCCACAGGCCGAGCTCCATCCGCCACCATCTGCAGGCTCTGGATGAGTTTGCCCAGGAGAATATTTACACATTGTACAAGTTTAACTTCAGCAAGGACTGGGGGGACACCTTCGCTGACATCCCTGGCCCCGAGCCCTCCTTCCAGCTGGACCGTGGGATCCGTCTGCAGAAGTTGAACCACCCAGACAGCCAGCACAAAGTGGGATTCAGACTGGTGAGTGCCCCAGAATGCTGTTGCAGAGGGGCAAGCAGGGGATGTGGCTGCGAAACTGAGCCCCGCCTCCCACAGTGTAACAGCACCGGTGGTGACTGCTTCTACCGCACTTTCTCATCCGGCGTGACAGCCATCCGGGAGTGGTACCACTTCCACTACGTGAACATCCTGGCCCTGTTGCCCACTGCCCACGAGGACCACCACCAAAGCCACGGCGGCCACTTCATCTTCTCCTGCCGATATGACAACAAGAACTGCCAGGCCCGGTGAGTGGCTGAGGTTGGGTGGGTAGAGTGTGGTCCCACCACTGTGGTCCAGCTGGACAGACACCAGGTGCTGCCCAAGGCTGGCCACAAACAGCTCCCTGCAGAGATTAGGCAGGCTCCCTGCAGAGATTAGGCAGGCGCTGATGCCTCAGACTACACGCGATAGGGTGGGGGGTAGCAGTGTGTTCAGTCTTGAGTGTGACCCTGGGTTGTAGGCACTTCCGGACATTCCACCACCCCACCTATGGCAGCTGCTACACCTTCCATGGTGTCTGGACTGCACAGCGCGCTGGCATCACCCATGGTGAGTGCCAGCCCCTCCCTGGCCAGCAGGTGGGCAAGGGCACAGCCCAGGTAGCTTCACAGTATCCCCTTTGCCTCCTCAGGGATCAGCCTGGTCCTCAGGGCTGAGCAACAGGACCACCTTCCTCTGTTGTCCACGGAGGCTGGCATCAAGGTCATGGTTCATGGGCACAACCACACACCCTTTCTGGAACACCATGGCTTTAATATCCGGCCAGGGACAGAGACAACCATTGGCATTCGTGAGGTAGGCTGGCAACTATGCCAACCCTTAGGGACCTCCTGCCCACCCTTGGCCTTGGGACACAGGGGTGGGTCTTCAAGGCAGAGCAGACAGCAGAACTAAAGTCCCCTTCCCCTCAGGATGAGGTGCACCGGCTTGGGAGCCCCTACAGCCACTGCACAGACAGCGGGGGGGGAGTGGGCATGCCGCTGCTGTTCAACACCTCGTACACCATGCAGGGG